AATAAGTGATGATTAATCCGATTTCTGCTGTGGACGCCAAATTTCAATATACCGTACAAGGTTAGCATGTCAGTTAAAGTCTATTTACACCAGTAGTATGATTGCTGCAACAGTTGGAAAAATATATCAAGTTTGTATATTTCCACCATCACAGACTTAATTCTCTTATGCAGTGTTTATGCACTCATGGTCTTTGTAATGGTCAGCTCTTTTAAGAAAAGTCCTTATAATAATATTGAAGTTGGTGTCTAAATGAGTAAATGTCACTTGTGCAGTTTTACCCTTCATGGCTCATCGGCATGGTACCAGCTTTAGTTTAATATTGGGAATCTCTCTAACAACAATAAACTAAGAATTACAAAAACTGTGGTAAGAATAAAATATGACCAAGCTCCCTGCTTGATTAAGAACATTTGCATATATACCGCTGTATTAGTATGTATCAAAATTAACATGGTTGGTTAAATTCTTGATTCAGGGTGCAGTTCCTGGTACCAGAAAAAATGCAGAAGATGCTGTGTATTTTTTATTTTTTTTTGGTGGGTGCCAAACACATTACAGTTGTTGAAAGTAATTTTTAAAAGTTGTTGTTTGTTTGATTGACACTCAGATTTAGAAATTAACCCCTTCAGGACGGGTGACGGACGAGGTCCGTCACACAGGGGAGACCCTTAACGACGGGTGACGGACCTCGTCCGTCACGCGGTAAAATTAACCCCGGATCGCCGCTTTCGCGGCGATCGCGGGGTTAATGGTGCTCCGGTATGCCTCTGCATTGGAGGCATACCGGGAGCACCCGGTCAAGCTGCCCAGCACATGTGCTCGCTCTGACCACAAGTCGGAGCGAGCACATGTGCTCTGTATACTTACCTACCGGCTCCCTGCACTTCCGGGTTCTGTGTGAAGTGCAGGGAGCCGGATCAGTGCTGATCCTGCCCCCTGCTGTTAAAAAAAATAAAGTTTATTTAAAGTGTCCCCCCCCTTACCCATTTTAATAAAAAATTAACCCCTTCCCTGCCAATTGATCACTGACTACAGTGATCAATTGGCAGGGATTACATTTTACTATGATCTGATTTTTTTTTTTAACCCCTGAGGGTTAATTCTTTTTTTTTTTAACCCTCAGGGGTTAAATTAATTAAATTAATTAATTAAATTATTTTTTAATTATATATTTAGATAGCTGGGGTAGGTGGAAGTTAGTGGGGAATTGGGGGATTTGACGTTAGGCTAACTAGGGGTTAACGTTAAAAAAAAGTTTTAAAAGAAACTTTAAAAAGTTAAAAATTAAGCTTAAAAAATGTTTTAATAACATTTAAGTAATAAAAACAAAAAAACACACTTTACCTAGTCCAAATAAAAATTAACCCCTTCCCTGCCAGTCGATCACTGCCTACAGCGATCAAATAGAGATCACAGTATTATACTGTGATCTAATTTTTTTTAACCCCTGAGGATTAACTTTTATTTATTTTTTTAACCCTCAGGGGTTCAATTTATTTAATTAATTAATTTAAATATTTTATAACTATATATTTTGCTAGCTGGGGTGGGTGGGAGTTATGGGAAAATGGGGAATTTACTGTTAGTGCTGCGTACTGCTAGTTAGGGGTTAACAGTAAAAAAAATAGCTTAGAAAAATGTTAAATCTGTAAAAAAGTTTTAAGAAAGTTTAGGAAAGTTTAAAAAAAATTTATAAGCAAAACAAAAGTTTAAAAACTAGTTTTTAAAAGTAAAAAAGTTATAAAAAGTAAAAAAATACATTTTAAAAACGCTCATTACCACTACACCTGGAACAAACTAGAGAAAAAATTATCCCACGCCAAGGTTCAAAATATGCCTTTTGAATTACCCCAGGGTGTATTCTTTAATAAATAGTATGTGTTTGTGGGGAAGTTTCAATAACCAACCGTCTAAACTACTCCAAATTGGAACATGGACACAGCGTAAAACTTCAAAGTTAGAAAAAAACTGAATGGCTGCGTCTCAAATGCGCCCCTTCAACATCCACATATACCTGGCAAAGGTACATACGGGGGTATTGCTGTACTCAGCCGACATAGCTGAGCAACATATGAAGTATTATACAGTCATAGTACACATAAGGTTTGCAAAATATGCTGCGCAAACTCACTTTGTATGTCAAAAAGGCAGAAAAAATGCTTATTACCACTACACTTGGTACAAGCTAGCGGAAAAATGATCCCACACTAAGGTTCAAAATATGCCTTTTTAAATACCCTGGGATGTCTTCTTTAAGAAATGGTATGGCTTTATGGGGAATTTGGATTATATAGCCTGGTAAAATACTCTAAAATGGGACATAGGCACAGCATAAAAATTCAAAGTTTGAAAAAAACTGGAATGGCTGTGTCCCAAATGTGCCCCTCCGATGTCCACACATACCTGGCAAAGGTACATACGGGGGTATTGCTGTACTCAGCCGACATAGCTGAGCAACATATGAAGTATTATACAGTCGTAGCACACATAAGGTTTGCAAAATATACTGTGCAAACTCACTTTGTATGTCAAAAAGGCAGAAAAAACGCTTATTACCACTACATCTGGTACAAGCTAGCGGAAAAATGATCCCACGCTAAGGTTCAAACTATACCTTTTGAAACACCCTGGGGTGTCTACTTTAAGAAATGGTAGGCCTTTGTGGGGTAGATTGAATTTAAAACCTGCGAAGATGCTTGGAAATTGCACATAGGCCCAGCGTCAAAATTCAAAGTTTGGTAAAAACGGATATGGCTTGGTCTCCTATATGGCACTGTAGCTTCACAAAATAGTGACAAAGACATTCATTGGGGGTGTATTTTTACTCAAAAGACTTAGCTGAGCATAATTTGGGAGGTTTGAACTTAGTGGCACATATGAAATATACAAAACGCCCAGCAAAAATGCAATCCGTATGTAAAAAATGCACAAAATAATTTTTTTACCACATACTTTGGCATATATTGGTGAAAAAATGGGGGTATGTTAAGGCACAATATGCACCTTATGAGATACCCTGGAGTGTCTACTTTTACAAATGGTAGGCCTTTGTGGGGGTTTTTTGAACAGTCAAACTGTTATAATACCCCAAATGGAAGCTAAGGCTCATTAAATTCATCTCTCAAAATTCTACTGTGAATACTGAAAAGGACAGGTATCCTATATGGCACTGTAGCTTCACGAAATAGTGCCAAAGACATTCATATGGGGTGTCATTTTACTCAGAAGACTTAGCTGAGCATAATTTGGGGGGTTTGAACTTAGTGGCACATATGAAATATACAAAACGCCCAGCAAAAATGCAATCCGTATGTAAAAAATGCACAAAATTTTTTTTACCACATACTTTGGCATATATTGGTGAAAAAATGGGGGCATGTTAAGGCACAATATGCACCTTATAAGATACCCTGGAGTGTCTACTTTTACAAATGGTAGGCCTTTGTGGGGGTTTTTTGAACAGTCAAACTGTTATAATACCCCAAATGGAAGCTAAGGCTCATTAAATTCATCTCTCAAAATTCTACTGTGAATACTGAAAAGGACAGGTATCCTGTATGGCACTGTAACTTCACGAAATAGTGCAAAAGACATACAATGGGGGTGTCATTTTACTCAGCAGATGTAACTGAACACAAAATAAAACTTTGTACAGGAATAGCACACACCAACTTTACAAAATATACACGAGAATTTCTCTGTTATAAGTTTGTGTGCCAAAAACCAAAAAGAACACAATTTTACTCCAATATTTAGCAGAGGTTGGCGGTGAAATGGCTACGTAGAAAGTGTCAAAACAACCTTAGGTAAATAGCCCGTGATGTCTACTTTATATAAATATATACTTTTGTGTGGCAATTTTGTTTTCTTTTATGGCTATTAAGCTTACAAGACAAACATACCAAATTCTAAAATCGCTCCACATTAAAATTTTATTTTACTCCTTGTGCTTTGTGACCTGTAACTACCAAAAAAAACTTAAAATCCCAGACACATTATATATTCTGTAAATCAGAACAAATAAATAAATTTATTTTTAATTACTTTCCTTAACCTGCACTAATTATGCACACATTATTATTGCAAAAACTGTAAAAAAAAACAATATTTTTCATTTTTTTTGCATTTTTCTGTATTTTTTTTATAATAAGTAAGCATTTATATATATATATGTTATATCAAATTAAAGCCCTTTCTGTCCTTTAAAAAACAGTATATAATATGTGTCGGTGCAATAAATGAGAGAGATGCAAATTGCAGTTGAACGCAAACAGCAAGAAAATGCAAAAATTGCTTGTGTCATTAAGCGTAAGTCAAGCTTCTGAAGCTGTGTCCTTAAGGGGTTAAGAGCTGGTCAGTTTTTCATAAAATAGGTGATTGAAATATTTATGATATTGAATGGAATTGATCAAAAGAGTAGGGAAATTAAAGTGACCGTTTTATTTGCTGCGATCTTTGTTCTTTTTCACTCCCTCCTTCCTTATTCCCCCCGACCCCCTTTCCCTCTTACCCTCAGTTTCTTTTCCCTTTCCATTATCCAAAATGTATTTTAAATCTAATAAAGTGTTAAAGTTTAATTCTATTAAAAGTATCTATTACAAATACGCTGATGTAGAAATTGAAACTCTATTCACACAATCATTCATACCTGTCCTGGCGTGAGAGTGGAGGCGTTAGTTGGAAGGAGTGTCAGGCAAGTCTGTAACCAGAGGCCATGTCATTATATAACCTCAAGTTCTCGAGACTAACATATACAGCCTTCTCCATGAATCTCTGATTGTTAATCTGTGAGGCAATTTCAATCCACTGAGATCTCCATTTTCTCGCCAAACTGACTTTGGTGGCCATTAATATATGCACAATTAGCATTTTTATTTCTTCTTTCAATTTGGGAAAATCCAAATGAAACAAAAAAGTTGGGGGAGTCAGTACAATCTGGGACTGTGTTAAACTTGTAAATTCATTTTATTTTTTATTTTTATTGTGCATTTAATAAAATACATTTTAACTTGTATTGCCACGACAGCAACGACAAGCCTGGTAATACAAACAGTTGACTCTGTACATGGCATGTGATAATTCTGCACATTTTTAAAATATACAGTGAACAGGCTAAACAAACATTTCTAGGTCAGGTTGCTAACAAGAGATAGGTGCCTATTGTAGAGCGACATGCGAGGATTAAACATACAATTAATGATCAAGCTTTTTATGATGTAAAGCAAGCTGGGTTATACAGGCTAGGTTTAGCTTTTGCATGAGATTGAGTAGTGGGCGTTTGTTGCATTCTTTACTCAGAAAACATAAACAGTTCACTTATTGAAATTTAAGAGGAGTGGACAACATTACAGGAGCATATTCGCTACAGTGGAAGAAGTCGTACATGTTAACCATTATTCGGTGTATTGCAGAGTGAAAAAAAAAAAAAAGAGAAAGGAAAAAAAGTGACACGAAGGACTAACTCGATATGTTGGATTACAGCTGTGTACATTGAGCCATGTATATGTGGGAGAGCGGGTACAGGGCTTAAGTAGCTCTTGTGATAGTTAAGTTCTGTGAGCCAGGTAAAGTAAAATAATAAAAAAAAAAGAGGGGGGGGGGTGCCCCCGAGCATAAGGGGGCCTAAGGGATAGGGCCCTACGTGAAGATCCCTGACTGGGTCCTCTCATGGATTCCAGGGACCTTGGTCCATGCACGTGCGGCCGGGTTGTATGTGAAAATAAAAAAATTAAAAAATGGATAAATTAATAAAAATGTGAGTAAATAATGTTGGGGGGGGGGCTATAATTACATGAGGATAACTGGCTGCTTGAGGTGGGAGCTATCGCTGCTTAGAAGTGTGTCTCGTGCCTCCCCTCATACCTCTGTTCCCAGATGAGGCTTAAAAGTAACGTAGAGCCTCTATATGGCCATGCTCAGTGCAACAGTGACGAGCACCCGGGTGCGCCAACATATGCAGTGTCGCCCTAAGGTCATAAAAGCAGTGTCGTGCAGGCTGTAAACATAGTTCTTTACATTCACGAAGCTCAGGTAGTAATTGCAGCATGTCTATGTAAAAATTAAATCATATAAAGTTTGTAATTATTTCCGTATGATGAGAGGCAGTCGTTATGCACATAGGGGCAATAATTTAAAGTTAGCCCACACAGAGGTGCTTTACCTCGGCGTACAGCCACCGTTTAAATGTTTAGCTTTGCGTGTGTGCGCTAGTGTATGGAACTGGATTGGGAACTGTTTTTTAGTTTTAAGTAAGTAAGGTATTCTTTGCTGGAAATCCCATGATTTGTACATAGAGGAGTGAATGGTCTAAAAATCACTTCGGCAAATAAGTTAATGCCAGCATTTACCCAACTCAATTATATTATTAAGATATAGGGACAAAGATTCCATAGAAGCATCCAAGGAGATACATTCTGTACTATTATGCTTCCGTCTTACAAGATGGGTACCATGATAATTTTCACCTAACACATTATTTTACACATTAAGTCATTTAATAGCCAAGTTATCTGCCCAAAGCAAGAAAAAAGGTTTCTTGTTGGATAAAACTTGCCTTTCATAACCTAACCATAAACAATTTTGTTGGACCTTAAATTTACATTTAATCAAATGGGATAGCATTATGGAGTCAAAATGGAGGAAGGAAAATCCTTCTTTAGGGCACTATGGTGTCAGGGAAAAAAATTATTTGCCTAGATTGGGTGATTCTCTTTAGTGTGAGACTAGTTAACCAGTATACAGTTGTTCAAAGTATTTTTTTTTTCCTTTAACAAATGGTAGGAGCAAAGAAGAAAATTTTATTTTATTTTATATATGTTCAATCAGGTGTGAGAAGTGCAATATCAAAACACAATAACATTACAGCTGTAAATCCTCCTGTGCACAGCAAAATAATTTGTTACGGCCAAATCTTTGTCAATTTTTTTTTTCAAATAAATATATAAATTTCAACCATATGGTTGTTCAGCACGTCCAAATTTAATGTTAACCCCCCTCATTACTGAGCACTTTTTGATTGAAAAATATTAGCAAAACATTTGTTTGAAGCAAGGGACGCATAGTTAGCATGTAAACATAGGGCACTGTGGTTTTGTGTGTAGATTGCTTTGCAAACAAACTTAAAAATAAGTACATTTACACAATTTTTATTTTTCACTTAATCGTTCGTAAAAAAATATTTGGGAAATGTAAAGCTTTAGACAATATATAATGTCATTTATCTTGTAATATTGCATTGCATTTTTCATTACTTAAACACTTGTAACTATGTAGTTGAAATAGGTCAAGAATTAAATGTAATTGTATTTCTGAAAATGAGAACATAATGAAGAAAAAAATATATAGTGCAAATAATTTAATTTGGTAAATGTGATTAAGGTAAAGAGTATATCTTTCCCTGACCTGTAGAATATTTAAATCCGTGATCAACGGAACATAATTTGCTTGTTCAAGGACAGGTGAACACTGAAATATCAATTCCTACCACATTATGTCTTTTATAACTGGCAAACATTATGGAACATATTATTCAAAATCAGCTCTACAGTTGGTGAGGGAACGTAAGCTTAAACTGGATTTGGTTTATTGTGAAAACATGTTTAAAATATCTTAGATCTATAAAATCTAGAAGCTGTAAGATTAGTTAAGTGTAATTTAAAGGAAGGTGATAGGATATCATGATACTGTGAGCTCAGAGGGCCACTATCTCGGAGAAAGAACTTAATCAATGCTTCCCCTTTATTATCTCCTCTTTGCAAAATCACACTAGCTCCTAATCAACATTACAGTAATGCTACTAATTTAAATAACTATGTTACACCTAAAAAAAACCAACTCAACTAACTGGCAGTACTCAGCCATTCACATTGTCCTCATGGCCATGATGCAGAAAGAACGATAATAAAATAACCAGCAGCTGTTGTGTATTTCTGTAGATGACCTTCTGGTTGGCTTGACCTATTCTGGGGTACCATCACATTTTAATTTTAAAAGGTGAATGTGTTTATTTTAAAAGATGTCTTATTTCAATGGACAAAAGATGATGTTGATGATGATGGAAAAAGTATTTGGTAAAGAGCCTCTTAAGAAAACTGAAGGTATGGTGGTTGGTATGGACTTTGACATCTATAGCATTAATTCTGCATTCTGACAGGCACTAAAACATCAACCATCCAATACATAAAATGACAGTATTATTATTATTATATTTATATAGTGCCATCAAATTCCACAGCGCTTTACAATGGGTGGCCGAACAGACATGTAGTTGTAACCAGACAAGTTGGACACACAGGAACAGAGGGGTTGAGGGCCCTGCTCAATGAGCTTACATGCTAGAGGGAGTGGGGTAAAATGACACAAAAAGGTAAGGATAGTATTAGACTAGTGACAGTTGCAGAAGAGGAATCAGTCAGGAGCTATTAACAGTTTAATTGACACTTTTATAAAGAAGTGGGATTTTAACGATTTTTTGAAGGAGTGGAGACTGGGTGATCATCTAACAGAGGAGGGAAGCGAGTTCCATAGGAACGGTGCAGCCCTCGAGAAATCATGAAGGCGAGCATCAGAGGTGGGAGTACGGACAGAAGATAGATCGTAAGGGCCTAGACGGGACATATTTGTGTATAACGGAGGATAGATAGGTGGGAGCAGCATTATGTAGCGATTTGAAAGCAAGAACCAGAATTTTAAATTGAGCTCTATATTTTATAGGAAGCCAATGTAGGGACTGACAGAAGGGTGAGGCATGGGAGGTGTGGGCGGACAGGAAGATGAGCCTCACTGCTGCTTTCATTATGGACTGTAACGGCTCAAGGGACAGTGGAATGGACCAACACCTTAGTCGCAACTGGTGTTAAGCAGGGTCGAATGCGCGCAATGTTTTTGAGATGGAAATGACAGGATTTGGCGATAGATTGAACATGAGGCTTGAAGGAGAGATTGGAGTCAAAGAGAACACCTAGGCAGCGAGCCTGCATGGTGGAGCTGATGGTAGCACCGTTGACTTGGAGGGAGGCAGACACAGGAGTAACAACACTTGAGGGAGGAAAGACCAGAATTTCAGTTTTGGTCAAGTTTAGTTTAAGGAAGTGAGCAGCCATCCAATTAGAAACAGCAGAGAGGCAGTCAGAGACACTAGTCAAGAGGGATGGGGAGAGATCAGGAGAGGACAGGTAGATTTGCGTGTCATCTGCATATAAATTATATTGGAAGCCAAAGGAGCTAATGAGTTTACCAAGGGAGGCAGTATAGATGGAGAGCAGGAGGGGATCAAGGACTGAACCTTGGGGGACACCAACAGAGAGGAGTTGGGGAGAAGAAGCAGAGCCAGAGAAAGAAACACTGGGAGAGGTAGGAGGAGCACCAGGAGAGAGCAATATCTTGTAGACCGATATTGCGGAGGATGAGAAGAAGCTGTTGACGATCAACAGTGTCAAAAGCCACAGACAGGTCAAGGAGAATTAGGATAGAGTAGTGACCACAAGATTTTGCAGCAAGTAGATCATTGGATACTTTATCAGTGCCGTTTCCACAGAGTGCTTATCGCGGAAACCAGACTGAAGTGGGTCTAGCAGAGAGTTGGACTCGGAAGTCTGTCAATCTCGCATACACAATTCTTTCAAGGATCTTGGATGAAAAAGGCAGCAGCGAGATAGGATGATAGTTGGAAGGGGAGTTAGGGTCAAGATTGGGCTTCTTAAGAATTGGGGTTACATTTGCATGTTTGAAGGGCGATGGAAATATACCAGAGGAGAGAGAGAGATTGAAAATTTTAGTGAGAGGTGGAGAAAGAGAAGAAGACAGAGTACGGATGAGATGCAAGGGAATTGGATCTAGGGTGCAGGTGGTGGGGCGGGAGGACTGGAGCAGAGCAGAAACCTCTTCCGCTGTAGCGGGTGCAAATGAACATAGAACAGCAGAGGGAGTGAAGTTAGGGGAAGTATTGTAAGGGGAAGAAGAAAGATGAGAGATCTCTTCTCTGATTGTAAAGATCTTGTCAGTGAAGTGAGTTGCAAAGTCTGAGGTGGTCAAGTTAGTAGGTGGAGGAGGAACAGCAGGGCAAAGAAGAGAGTTAAATGTGTGAAATAGTCGTTTGGGTTCGCGTGAGAGTGTGGTTATGAGGGTATTGAAGTAATTAACTTTTGCAGAGGAAAGAGCCATGCTGTATGAGCTCAGCATAAATTTATAGTGGAGAAAGTCCGATGCACAATGAGACTTTCTCCAACAGCGTTCAGCAGTTCTGGAGCATTTTTGGAGTTATCAAGTGAGCATGGTGTGCCAGGGTTATTGTTGGGGGCGCCTGCGGCATTTAAATGTACAAGGTGCTATGATGTCTAGTTGAGAGGAGAGGGTGGAATTGTAGAAGGAGGTTGCCGAACTAGGACAGGTGAGGTTTGAGATAGGTAAAAGGAGAGCTTGGAGATTAGTGGAGAAATGCTTTAGGTCAAGACATTGGAGGTTTCTGTGAGAGTGATGTTCAGACGGTGGTGTCAATTGGGTCTTAGGTTTGCCAATGTCAAAGGTTAGCAGATGGTGGTCAGATAGAGGAAAAGGAATATTAGAGAGATTAGAGGCAGGACAGAGGTTGGTGAAGGAGAGATCAAGAGTGTTTCCCGCTGTATGGGTTGCTAAATTGGACCATTGCGTAAGGCCAAAGGAGGAGGTTACAGAGAGCAGATGAGAGGCATCAGTGCAATTGGGGTTGTTGATTGGGATATTGAAATCCCCAAGTATAAGGGAAAGAGTACTAGATGAGAGGAAGTGCGGAAGCCAGGAAGAAAAGTGCTCAATGAATAGTCTAGGATAACCGGGGGGGGCGGTAGATGATAGCATTTCTTAAAGGAGTGGGTGTAAATAGGCGGACAGTGTGAACTTCAAAAGAAGAAAAGGATAGGGCAGGGGGAGTTATGATTGGTTGAAAGGTACATTGAGGGGAGAGAAGGATGCCTACGCCGCCTCCTTTACAGTTGAGTCTGGGTGTGTGAGAGAATTGTAGCCCACCAAAACATAAAGAGGCAGGAGTAGCACTATCAGAGGGGGACAGCCAGGTCTCTGTAAGTGCAAGCAGTGTGAGTGAGTTTGAAATGAAAAAGTCGTGTATGGTTGTTGATTTTAAATTACTGCAGATGGAGTGGGCATTCCAGAGTGCACAATGAGTTTTGGTAAGTGAGGGTAAAGGGCAGGGTATTGTGATGAGGTGTGTGGGGTTTCTTGTTGTCTTAGTGTGTGTAGAGAAGGTGAAGGGCCCTGGATTGGGGGGAATTAATATGTCACAGATCATGGCAGCTTTTGATGATGTATTTTTACTTTTTTAAGAAAAAAAATATGTATAAAGTATAGGATTCATGCTCTCAAACTCTGAGTTTAGTGTACCCAAGTGCATTATTTGACTCAAATACAGGAAAGACTGAAAGAAACCATTCGGGTCTTCATAATCTTGCGTGAATTTATTATCAAAAGCAGCAGAAGGTTATAGGCCAATGTTTGGTTCAGTTTGACAAAAGAGGTTCCTTTAGCATGGAAAGCAAACTGTGGTTTCTGTTCTGTCAGTTGTTTCAGTATCATTAAGCCTCTAATTAAGTCGCTCTTTAAATCACATACAAATTAGATTGCAAATTGCTTCTGCATAGAATTATATATTGTGTGGACACAATGCTGATATAGGAATTCTTTAATCCTATGAAACACACGGAACCATTTCAAAAAGTACATAGAAAAGTATTTATTTCCGAATGAGTCTATGGATATCTGAAATATATAATTTTGTATTAATTATATTATTATTTATAAAAAATATTACTTATTTCACAGCTCTCTGCAACTGATAAAGGAAACAGAGAAGCAACTGAATTTAATAGTGATTAGAATATAGGAACACAATATATGAGGTCCCTTGGAAAATAATACAAACAAACAAAAACTTAAAGTCTACAGGAAGTGAGGTTTAATTTGAGTAATGGTGGTTAAAAGGTAGCGAACATTATTGATCTATTATCGCATGCGCAATTACATCAAATTTATATTTTTGTCTGTGTTTTTTGCATAAATCATTTAAGATTGCACAAATTGTTATTACAGAGAACATTTTGGAACACAATACTATGAGTATCTGACTTTTAATCCCACTACTTTATTTTGTTTATATAGTTAGATCCCCTAAACCAAATACAGATTAACTGACCTCCACACCAATTTGTACAATGTTATAAAATATTGCATTAACAAGAAAGAAGCATAATTCTCTGTGCAAGATGTGAGGTTCTGTTCACACAGTAGCTGGTTTACGGGCATACACGCAATATAAACTATCGTAATCAGCGAGGTCCATCCTCGATCTGTCTTCTCGAGGGACAACATCCATCTTCTTAATTTCATAACCAGCTTCTCTAAAAGCCGTTTCAATCTCTTCTTTTGTCATTGCCAGACACGAAAATCTCTTGTTCCCAATGTAATAAAATGTACAATTTAGTACACTCTGTATTATGATATGGCCCCCTGGCTTGAGCAAGTCCATGAAATTTTTAAGGGTGTTGCAGTAAGCGGCTGCATTCACACATGGGACTTCTAAGCAGAGACAGCTCAAGAGGCAATCAGCTGGTTCCAAAACGATTGGTTCATATGGATTATTTTTTAGTGCGTCACATTGTAGAACCCGTTTCACAGCTTTCCTCACTTTCTCTTCCTTTTTCTCACAATTGTCACTGTTGAAACAGTACATTAGACAAGATATGGTTTTATAGAAATTCTGCATGCCCTACTTTATTATTTTATTTTTTTAATTATGCTTCAACATGGACATTGATGCAAGGTTGTACTGGTCTAAAGAGTAGACCCATATTTTAGATAAGTGAAAATAACAGGTGTACACACTGCCTCTTATTAATACACTCATGCACTTTCTTAACCCATAAAACTTAATATTTACCCTAACTTCACCTGCTCTTGATATTCCAATTATTTCTAATTTACTTTTTTCCAGTTTAGCAATGATCTGTCTTCTCCTCCTCTTTATTTTCTCCTTCTCCCTCACTATAAAAATCTCTCCTTACACCCCCTTCACTCATCCCCATCCATATTTACATATGCCCCTGTAAAGGATCCTTCTATTCGTGCAGCGATGATCCTTGCAGCTTCTCCCGAAATCCAGCTGAAACAAAGTGATTATAACTCCCAATCCCCCAAACATGAGTCGAGACTTCATGAAGGGGTAAAACGATCTGATTTACTGTGGGCTACCCGCCCGGTATTTATGCAGGTTTCCCACCTGGTGGACACTCCCCTAGGGGACCAGATGGAAGACTGGGACAAAAGTATCACAGTAGCCAATCACAGTGACTATAGCATAAGCACTCCCCTTTCCATAAATCACTCCCTCTTTTCCATCCTGGAGATAATTAACTTAAGGTAACAAAGCGAGCCTTAATTATCTCCAGGAAGAAAGAAACATGGCTTTTCTTATTTCAGCAAAACAGAATAAAAATATATAACTTTCTTTTTACACAACATAAACTGTAAGTTCCACATATCCCCAGATAGCTTGGATCTGAGTGCATATTGTAGGTGAATAGCGCTCAGATCCCACGAACACAGTTCTCAGAATCGTCGACTGAAGTTTGACTTTCACCGGCCGTTCGTGTGTTTGTAGCCGACTACAAGTTCCATACTATAGCTATCTGGGGTCGGTCACTTTCGCATACTTTCAGCGCATGAATGAAGTAGTATCCCCTTCATTCGTGTGTTTTTCCACCGTACGAACGAGGATGGGAGGAGGTAGCAGCGGTGTTCGACAAAATAAGTAGCCGAAATCAGTTCCAGGGAATCCTCGCCATTTACTGCTGAGCGTTCGACAATACAAAATGGCGATTTCCACATGTTCGGTAAACGAACGCGGACCACCAGCTATTCCCCAATTAGTCTGTGGTTAACCGCAACAGTCAGGGTGGTCAATAGGCGCCACACGACCTCAGTGGGAGGTCGGTGGTTCGGTAGTTTATTCGCTTTTATGGCTATTTTCACGAAATCCTGCTGTAATCCTCCAAATAACCGAACAGGCTTGTTCGTATGGTCTGTAAATAAGGGATTTCATTACAGCCCCTCTCTGCTACACTCCCCCTTCTCTCACCTCATACCTTATACTCATTTTTCTACTCTCTCACTCCTACCCTCAATCAATCTCATCCTAGACCCCATGCATACAAAACCCATTCACACCTCCTGTCACTTTCTCTCCTTTTGCTTTTAGCAACTGGTGATGTCTCTCCCAAACCAGGGCCCTTCATCTTCTCTACACACACTAAGAAAACCAGAAACCGCACAAACCTCATCACAATACCCTGCCCTTTACCGTCAATTACAAACATTCATGAACATTCATGCACTCTGGAACTGCTGCTCCATCTGCAGTAATTTAAAATCAACAGCCATACACAACTTTTTCATCTCAAACTCACTCACACTACTGGCACTTACAGGGACCTGGCTGTCCCGCTCTGATAGCACTACTCCCGCCTCATTTTGTTTTGGTGGGCTACAATTCTCTCACACTCCCAGACTCAACTGTAAAGGAGGTGGTGTCGGCATTCTTCTTTCCCCTCAATGTAACTTTCAACCAATCATAACTCCCCCTGCCTTATCCTTTTCTTCTTTTGAAGTTCACACTGTCTGCCTATTGAAACCCACTTCTTCTACTTGGGGATTTCAATATCCCAATCAACAACCCCAACTGCACTAATGCCTCTCGTCTGCTCTCTGTAACCTCCTCCTTTGGTCTTACGCAATGGTCCAATTTAGCAACCCATACAGCGGAAAAAACTCTTGATCTCGCCTTCACCAATCTCTGTATCGCTTCTAATATCTCCAATATTCCTTTTCCTCTATCTGACCATCATCTGCTGATTTTTGACATCGGCATACTTAAGACCCAATTGACACCACCGTCTGAACATCAATCTCACAGAAACCTCCAATGTCTTTACCTAGAACATTTCTCCACTTATCTCCAAACTCTACTTTTGACTCTCCAAACTGTCCTAGCTCTGCAACCTCCTTATACAATTCGACCCTCTCCTTTCAACTAGACATCATGGCACCTCCTACATTTAAAATGCAGCAAGTGCCCCCAACAACAACCTTGGCACACCAAGATCACTCAATACCTCCAAAAATGCTCCAGAACTGCTGTATGCTTTTGGAGAAAGTGTCACTGTGCATCTGACTTTCTCCACTAGAAATTTGTGCTGCGCTCATACAGCTTGGCTCTTTCCCCTGCAAATGTAAATTACTTCAATACCCTCATAACCACACTCTCCTGGGAACCCAAAACGACTGTTTCACACATTTAACTCTCCTCTTCGCCCTATTGTTCCTCCTCCACCTACTAACTTGACCGCCTCAGACTTTGCAACTCCCTTCACTGACAAGATCTCTACAATCAAGGAAGAAATCTCTCATCTTTCTTCTTCCCCTTACAATACTTCCCCTAACCTCACTCCCTCTGCTGTTCTATGTTTATTCGCACCCGCTACAGCGGAAGAGGTTTCTGCTCTGCTCCAGTCTCCCCACCCCACCACCTGCTCCCTAGATCCAATTCCCTTGCATCTCATCCATACTCTGTCTCCTTCGCTTTCTCTACCTCTCAGTAAAATTCTCAATCTGTCACTACTGCTAGTATGGTCCAACACGCAGAACTATGTAACGTCAACATAGGCAGAACAGAATAGGATAAAACGTAAATCGGTCCTTAAAATGGCCGGACTAATACGTTAAAGACAGAGAATGGTCAAGGGATAGCCAAAGTCAGGAAGCCAGAAATCAGAATAGTCAGGAATAGCCAAGGTCAATATACCAGAAATATCAAAAACAGGACAAAAAAATGCACTCTCAGGAACCAGGAACAGAAACCACGACAGAGCAATGAACTAGGGAACTTCAGGGCTGTGGTCGGCACCATATTTCTTCAGGGCAGGCGGCTAGGAGGATCCGGCGGAGCGACTTCTGACTGAGCAAGTAGGCTCAGTACGTCAGCGCAGCCGCACCGGTCAGGTGCTTCCGCACCTTGCGGCAAGCCAAGGGCCGTAACGCAATCTCTCTCTCTCCTCTGGCATATTTCCATCGCCCCCTTTAAACATGCAACTATAACCCCAATTCTAACGAAGCCCAACCTTGACCCTAACTCCCCATCCATCTACCGTCCTATCTCGCTACTGCCTTTTGCATCCAAGATCCTTGAAAGAGTTGTGTATGCGAGATTGGCAGACTTCCTCAAGTCCAACTCTCTGCTAGACCCGCTTCAGTCTGGTTTCCACGCTAAGCACTCTGTGTAAACTGACTAAAGTATCCAATGATCTACCCGCTGCAAACTCTCATGGTCACTAATCTATCCTAATTCTCCTTGACCTTTCTGCGGCTTTTGACACTGTTGATCATCATCAGCTTCCTTCTTATCCTCTGTCTACAAGATATTGCTCTCTCCTGGTGCTCCTCCTACCTCTCCCAGCGCTTCTTCAGTGTTTCTTTCTCTAGCTCTGCTTCTTCTCCCCAACTCCAATGTTGGTGTCCCCCAAGGTTCAGTCCTTGGTCCCCTACTGTTCTCCATCTATACTGCCTCCCTTGGTAAACTCATTAGCTCCTTTGGCTTCCAATATCATTTCTATGCGGATGACAGGCAAATTGATCTGTCCTCTCCTGATCTCTCTCCCCGTCCCTCTTGACTAGTGTCTCTAACTGCCTTAAACTTAACTTGACAAAACTGAAATTCTGGTCCTCAAGTGTTGCTCCTCCTGTGTCTGTCTCCCTCCAAGTCAATGGAGCTACCATCAGCTCCACCAAGCAGGTTCGCTGCCTAGGTCTTCTCTTTGACTCCAAATTCTCCTTCATGCCTCATGTTCAATCTATCGCCAAATCCTGTCATTTCCATCTCAAAAACATAGTGGGCATCCGACCCTACTTAACACCAGATGTGACTAAGGTGCTAGTCCATTCCACTGTCCTTTCTCGCCTTGAAAACTGTAATCCGCTTCTCAGTGGTCTTACGTGTTCCCAACTTATGCTGTTACAGTCCATAATGAATGCGGCTCATCTTCCTGTCCGCCCACACCTCCCACGCTTCACCCTTCTGTCAGTCCCTACATAGGCTTACATTTAAATTCTGGTTCTTGCTTTCAAATCTCTACATAATGCTGCTCCCACCTATCTATCCTCCCTAATACACAAGTATGTCCCGTCTAGGCCGTTACGCTTTGCTGAAGACGTACGTCTATCTTTTGTCCGTACTCCCACCTCTGATGCTCGCTTTCAAGACTTCCTGAGGGCTGCACCGTTCCTGTCGAACTCTCTTCCCTCCCTCCCAACTGATTCCTCTCCTGCAAATGTCATTACTTCTCTAATACTATCCTTACCTTTTGTGTCACTTTACCCCACTCCCTCTAGCATGTAAGCTCATTGAGCAGGTCCCTCAACCCCTCTGTTCCTGTGCGTTCAACTTGTCTGGCTACAACTACATCTGTTCGTCCACCCACTGTAAAGCACTGTGGGATTTGTTGGCTCTATATAAATAATAACATAATAATAATCTAAAATGGAGACATACCTGTTTCCTTCAAGCTCACATACAAACTTGACAGCTGGAGTCCAGTCAAATGCCCCAGGTTCCTTTTTTAGCCATCTATTCAGCTGAGCACGGTTTTGCTCAAGAAAGTCAGAAGTAATAATATTCTTAAACACCTCACAGGCTGAAAGGAGATTAAGGATGCTCGGCCCAGCACCAAAATCAATCAAGGTATCCCCTACGATATTACCTGATGAAGAAGTCAAAATATTAACACGGAAATAGAAGATCTCTGAATGCATTGATTATCCATGCATTGCATATAATTCTCTCACAACATGTATTGGGATACAGTCACTTGGGGGTAATTGCTGTGATTTTATAAGAAGCAATTATACTAGTAGCAACATTAAAAAAGTAAATACATTTGTAAATTTATTACAAATCGGTCTGATATAGATAGCACATTGAGGGCATGAGCCATTAACAATCCTACCAGTTTGGATACTTTTGAGAGCACTTTTACAAGAATGTGTTCAGTGAAAACAGCATATGTTAGATTACGCAATGAGGTCTATGGAGGATACCGGGAGAATCCTCCACAGACAGAGCCAATTCACAGCAGCCATCACTAGGTTTTTAGTTAAAAATAGATGAAAAATGAAAAAAAAGAAAAGACAGCAAGATAGAGGAAGTGAAGGGTGTGATGGTTCTGCTTTGAAGAACATGGTTTGTTTTCCAGATGGTATTAATGCATTAACCCCTTAAGGACAGAGACAATTGTCCACGTTCTGAAACAAAACAAATCCTTATATATGAGCTATAGGTTTGTTCCACTGAAGTTTAAGGCTTTCTCTTCACATAAGAGGGATATCCATCTCATATTTATTTAATTTTTTTTTAATCATTTAGTATGTATACCAAACATAACACTACATGTGCATATAATGTTAAGAAATGAGGGTGTTTTGTGTTTTACTTATAATAATTTTTGCACATCCAGTGCAACCAACTAAAAATAACAAAAAATTGATTTATATATCATCCTGGTTGTTAAATGTTTAACATCTAAAATTCATTTTTGAAAGTTAATGCTAACTCTATACCAACCATACCCCTTACCCAATACTTACACTAATTAACTGTGTACCTACCCTAATCTTACCATTAAACTGAGCCCTACACTATATCTAACCCTAAAACAGCATTATCCAATACCTTACCCTAACCCTACCCTACTCTTAACCATACATCTAACCTTACCCTCATGGTAACCCACTGTTAAAGGACCACTATAGTGCCAGGAAAACATACTAGTTTTCCTGGCACTATAGTGCCCTGAGGGTGCCCCCACAATGGGTGGGTAACACTCACGCCGGGCTCTAGATTGAGGAAGGGGTTAATCCCTTACCTTTTTCCAGCGCCGGGCTCCCTCGGAGCTGGGACTCTCCTCCCTCTTCTTCCGTCATCGGGCATTCAGCCAGTCCATAGGAAAGCATTTTCAATGCTTTCCTATGGATGCTGACATCTTCTCACTGTGAATATCACAATGAGAAGTGCGAAGTGGTCTGGGTGCCTATAGTGGTCCTTTAATATAAATTTTCAGAATTACACTGTTGAAGACCCTGGTCTCTCCAAAGCTGCCTACACTCCAGAAAACCACGGCAGAGCGTAATTGCTCAGAACCACTTTTATGAATGAGTTTAAAGTGCTTGGTGTTAAACTGACTTCCAGCTCTGTGCAGTGCTAATCTGCCATTCTGGAGCCACTAAACAGTGCCCCAGTTTACTAACAGGACCCACGGGAATCCATTGATTCTTGGGGTTAATGGAATTTAGCCTTGCTCACACCAAAATCACTAGTATGCATTTAAATGCTTAAAGAAACCAGCTCATCAAAGGTATGGAGCAACTAACAATGGCACCAGCAGACAAAGGGGGGCACCAAGTACCTGGGGCTCCATGGTGTCAGCAGGGATTTAACTCTACTCACATCAAGTATACATGAAGTATGCCTCCCAACAAAGTAGGAAGAAGGAAGCTTAAGGAGCACTCGTATTGGGGTTAACCCATGGACTAAAGAGATAAACAAAAGAAAAAAAGAGTGTCCTAACTTGTAAGTTTCCATGATAGGAATAATGTTCTAAAAATGATAATAAATTAAAGTATATACATTCTAATATCCAGAAATGTAATGAACCAATGAATATATATATTCTCTAATTGGTAACTTGTCAGTTGGAGAATATGTAGAGAAATTAAATAATACAGGGAGTGCAGAATTATTAGGCAAATTGTATTTTTGAGGATTAATTTTATTATTGAACAACAACCATGTTCTCAATGAACCCAAAAAACTCATTAATATCAAAGCTGAATATTTTTGGAAGTAGTTTTTAGTTTGTTTTTAGTTATAGCTATGTTAGGGGATATCTGTGTGTGCAGGTGACTATTACTGTGCATAATTATTAGGCAACTTAACAAAAAACAAATATATACCCATTTCAATTATTTATTATTACCAGTGAAACCAATATAACATCTCAACATTCACAAATATACATTTCTGACATTCAAAAACAAAACAAAAACAAATCAGTGACCAATATAGCCACCTTTCTTTGCAAGGACACTCAAAAGCCTGCCATCCATGGATTCTGTCAGTGTTTTGATCTGTTCACCATCAACATTGCGTGCAGCAGCAACCACAGCCTCCCAGACACTGTTCAGAGAGGTGTACTGTTTTCCCTCCTTGTAAATCTCACATTTGATAATGGACCACAGGTTCTCAATGGGGTTCAGATCAGGTGAACAAGGAGGCCATGTCATTAGATTTCCTTCTTTTATACCCTTTCTTGCCAGCCACGCTGTGGAGTACTTGGACGCGTGTGATGGAGCATTGTCCTGTATGAAAATCATGTTTTTCTTGAAGGATGCAGACTTCTTCCTGTACCACTGCTTGAAGAAGGTGTCTTCCAGGAACTGGCAGTAGGACTGGGAGTTGAGCTTGACTCCATCCTCAACCCAAAAAGGCCCCACAAGCTCATCTTTGATGATACCAGCCCAAACCAGTACTCCACCTCCACCTTGCTGGCGTCTGAGTCGGACTGGAGCTCTCTGCCCTTTACCAATCCAGCCACGGGCCCATCCATCTGGCCCATCAAGACTCACTCTCATTTCATCAGTCCATAAAACCTTAGAAAAATCAGTCTTGAGATATTTCTTGGCCCAGTCTTGACGTTTCAGCTTGTGTGTCTTGTTCAGTGGTGGTCGCCTTTCAGCCTTTCTTACCTTGGCCATGTCTCTGAGTATTGCACACCTTGTGCTTTTGGGCACTCCAGTGATGTTGCAGCTCTGAAATATGGCCAAACTGGTGGCAAGTGGCATCGTGGCAGCTGCACGCTTGACTTCTCAGTTCATGGGCAGTTATTTTGCGCCTTGGTTTTTCCACACGCTTCTTGCGACCCTGTTGACTGTTTTGAATGAAACGCTTGATTGTTCGATGATCACGCTTCAGAAGCTTTGCAATTTTAAGAGTGCTGCATCCCTCTGCAAGATATCTCACTATTTTGACTTTTCTGAGCCTGTCAAGTCCTTCTTTTGACCCATTTTGCCAAAGGAAAGGAAGTTGCCTAATAATTATGCACACCTGATATAGAGTGTTGATGTCATTAGACCACACCCCTTCTCATTACAGAGATGCACATCACCTAATATGCATAATTGGTAGTAGGCTTTCGAGCCTATACAGCTTGGAGTAAGACAACATGCATAAAGAGGATGATGTGGTCAAAATACTCATTTGCCTAATAATTCTGCACTCCCTGTAGTAACTAAAATGTATATAATCATTGGAAGGTTCTGTTCAAAAGTTTTCAGAAACCTTCACCCGATAGTGTGTGCAAAACAAAGTTTTGCAATCCACAGGGGCCAAATAGAGTAGCACTTACTATGCAGATAATGAAAAAGTTATCTCAGTGTGATGAATGTAGACTGTCTATAATAAGACCATAATGTAACAAAACGGCTAGAAAAAAGATGTGAGCTCAGGCTTCCCTAGGAAGGTAGTAACAGAAGTGAACTGGCTAATATGATTACAAAGTCCTGTTCAAAAAGGTTACAGAACCCTCTATCAAATAGTGTGTGTACAGCGATGTGTTCAATACACACAAAATATATCAGCCAGAACGCTCAGTATGTAATCATCAGCTGTGATGAGCAATGCTGCGGAGAGCACAAGAATAGCCTCTGTGGATAATATGAAAAAAAAATCTCACACTGACTCTGTCATCTCCCCACCGTCACCCTCTAACACTGTCACTGCCCCCCTCCCCACTGTTTCCCTTCCACACTGCCACCTCCCCTCTGTCTCCCTCCCACACTGCTACTGCCCCCCTCCCCACTGTAAGCCTCCCACACTGCCACCCTCCCACACTACCACTGCCCCCTCCCCACTGTCTCCCTCACACACTGCCACTGCCTCCCTCGCCACTGTCACTCTCCAACACTGCCACTGCCCCGCCCCCACTGCTACTGCCCCCTGCCCACTGCCACTTCCCCCTCCCCACCGTTTCCTTACCTCACTATTACTGCCCTCTTCCCTACTGTCTCCCTCCCACACTGTCACTGCACCCCCTACTGTCATCCTCCCCACTGCCACTGCCCCTTCTCCATTCTCCTTCCCCACTTTCATCCTCCCACACTTCCACTGCATCCTTCCCCACTGTCACTCTTCCCCTCTGCCACTGCCTCCATCTCCAATCTCCCTCCCCACATTCATCCTCCCACACTGCCACTGCCACACTGTCTCCCTTCCACACTGCCACCCTCCCCACTGTCATCCTTCCACACTTCCACTGCCAACCCCTGTGTTTCCTCCCACACTGCCCTTCCCACCGTCTCCCTCCCCACTGTCCTTTCCACTGCACCCTCTCACACTGTCACTGCCCCCTCCCCACCCCCTCCCACACTGTCACTGCCCTCCCAATAGCTGCACTGCCCTCCCCACTGTCTCCCTCCCACACTGTCACTGCCCTCCCCACCGCCGCCTCTACCACCTCTGTCACGCCACTCCCACTGTCGCCTTCTACCACATTGTCACTGCCTCTCTCCCAGCTGCCACCCTTTCACACTTCCACTGCCTTCCTCCCGCTGTCACACTGTCACTTCCCTCACCGCTGTCTCCCTCCCACACCTGACACCTCTTCCCATACACTGCTCCCAAATTGCCACCCTCTGTCACTCCTTTCCACACACTGTCACCTCCCCTCCCACACACTGTCACCTGCCCTCTCCCACACTGCCCTCTTCCTCCTCACACTGTACCCTCCCACACGCTGCTCCCCACTTCCACCTGTCTTCCTCCCACACTGTCACACACATCCACATTTGTCACCTCACACTGTCATAAACCTTCTCCAAGCTGTCGCCAGCATCCCACACATGGTCAATCTCCAAACACTGCCCCAACACACTGTCACCTATTCTCCTTCCACACTGTCCCCCTCCCCACACTCTGCCCCCACGCTTTGTCACCTGTCCTCCCCCTGTCACCCACCTCCCCCACACTGTCACACTGTCACATGTCCTCCCACACGATCATCCTCCCACACACTGCCTCCTCACAAAGTCACATTTCCACACACTGAACCCACACTGTCACACTCCCACACCCACTGTCAAAAAGGGGAAATTAGGCAGAGAAAAACGTAAACATTTGAAATAATAGCAACTATATTAATTACACAATTTTGCTAATATGTGGGTATGATTTATGGAAATGGTCTGCCAAGGAGTACTCAAGTCAAAAAATGTTGGGAACCACTGTCCTAGGTTATTACACTGCACTTTAATTGTTACAATCTTTGGTGTATCACTATGTATCCACATCTCTGTAGTTAGTGACATGTAGACTGTAGACACTAGCTAATGTAGACTGTAAACGCTAGCTAATGTAGACTGTAAAGCAAACTAGTGCAGATTTTACCAGATAAGGTTTGGATATACTTCAAATAGGATCTATTTTTAGCCCTGTATTTCATCAAAGATCTTATAGGGTTTCTCTACATATTCTCCGACTGACAAGTTACCAATTAGAGAACATATATTCATTGGTTCATCACACTGCTGAATATTAGAATGTATATACTTTAGTTTATTATCATTTTTGGAACATTATTCCTAGATTTTAGTATTACTATTAAAAGTTATACTTTAACAAGTAAGGACACTCATTTTTTATTTTGTTTATGCCTCACAACAGAATTATAAGCCCACAGTATGCAGAATGGCATATTTTAAAAAAAATATATTTTTAGTTTATTTTGTCATTTTACATTAATCTTCTTGAGCCTCTCTCTAAATGTAAGATATCTTGCAACATTGTGTAATATATATATATATACATACGCGCGCGTACACCCCCACACACAATATTTATGTTTACATTTATAAAATAAATATTTTATTTAGATTAAAAAGGTGTATCTCAGTGTGAATCAATATCTCATGGTGTTAACAGATTATTAATAAAAACGCAGGGATGCACTATGTCAGATTTTACCTGTAGAAAAGATTCCATGAAGATTCTTTAAAACAAAAGTTGTCCATTCTCCAACCAAAGCTCCTGATTTAGGATTATAATAGGTTTCATAATAATCCTTTGGATCAAACTCGTTGATGTATCTTTCTTGCTCATAGTCATGCGCCATTGTTATATGTGATCTCCTTTTAGACTTTCTGTATTCAGCTTCAGGTGATCCACGCACAGGTAAAAACTACAGTAAAAACAAAACTCACACACTACATAACCATCCTTATTTGTTTATATGACAAATAGACTTATACAAATTGTCAGCTTGTTTGTTACATTGATTCTATGCCACACTGATATTTTTGTACATATTTATATTTTACTTCTCATTGTGCAGTTAATACCTATTCTCACAGGGCTATTCACTGAAGAGAAAATTGTCAAGAATTCAATGTGATGAAATTACAAATTTCTTTCCAAAATATCCAAGCTGAACTCAGAAGTCCCAATTTTTCTAATTGGGGTATATTGGCCTAAATTTTCAAATCAATTTGTATTCCTTACAATTCTCCTTCTAGTGAATAACCCTGTTATAATGATATTCACAAAAGTGAGAATTCAATGTGAATTCAGAGTAAGTTTCAAGTCTTAATCTGAATGACAAGCATAGCTGGCTGGTTTAGAGAAGTTTTCCTATTCAGATATTTTGCCCTTAAATTCCAAATTCACTTAGAATTCTCACTTTATTATATAACCCTGCTAAAGTTCTTTATCCCTATCCCAAGCAGTTTAGGAATCTCCCTCAGATTCATACTAACCTGGTAACTAAGTCAGTTGGAGACTATTCCGCTCGTGTATTCAGTTCAGAAAGAATCATTCAATTTCCAACACAGAATGTGAAGGGACACAGGGTACTGTACAGCTTTTTATAGCATAGGCCCTGCCCTTTCAAAACCAGCCCAATGATATCCTCCTCCCTTTTACAATAATAACACAGACATGTACATTTATTTCAACTTCATTAATACATTTGCTTGATGTATTAAAGTGGCATTGTTTTTGCAGAGTCCCCCAGCAGTGACATTGCTACTGGTGGTCCGGTGCCTGGGGGAGGGGGGAGGGCTAGGTAAAGGTTAGATTACTTACCTGAACCTGTCTCTCACAGGCACCACCTCCTTATTACGCTGCTCCTCTTCAACTGAGCAAATGTCATTGATGTACGCATGCGCAAGAGTACAGCATTTAGCTCTATGGTTGTTTCCGAGGGACCGTGGCATCTTTCATAGCCACAGCCAATTCCCTGCACGGAATTTCAGTGAAATTCCACCATATTCAAAATGAGTATTTCATAAATATTTTATCTTTCTGAAATACTAATTATTTGGAGTGGAGTGGGAAAGAGAGTGCTGCTTTAAATGGTTATTATGCACAGAATAGAATACATATTTTAAAGGAATGCTCGAGTGTCAGGAATACCAGTGTATTTCTGACACTATAGTTGTAAAAGTGAGGTATGGGTTCCCAGCACCTCCTGTCTGCCTTTAGAAAGGTAATTTACTTACGTTATATTAAACGCAGTGCTGATCTCGTTGCAGCTGGCTCAGCCACACCTCCTTCGGTGGAGATCAACAAATTTGCCAATCTCAGTCAGTTAAATGCTTTTCCATAGGGAGGCATTGGGAGGCTATTGTGAATGCATGGCAAAATGCAGCACCAATCAGAAACTCCTCGTAGAGATGCATTGAATCATGCGCTGCATGGGGATGTTGAACATCAGTGCTGCATTGTGTGCATACAGATACACAAATATGTACAAAAAAACATACAGATACACTCTGGTGGCTGTCTGAGTGACTGCTGCTGGAGGTGTACCTAGGCAGTAATGAAAGCACTGCCTTTTCTCTGAAACAACAGAGTTTACATGAAAAAAAGCTTGTAGGTACAGGCTATAGACACATGAAAACTACATTAAGCTGTAATTCTGGGTAACTTACTGTCCCTTTAATGCATATAGAAAATTATAGAAAATGCAGATGAAAGAAGATTTCCAAACCATGCCTCCTCATTTTTAAATCTAGAATAAAGTAACCCATTCATAGCTAGGCATGAAGGACAATATAAAAACAGATAGGGAGGTTCAGTACCTGGAATGTCCTTGGAGTGTGTAAATATAACCATAAAAAATACGAGAAATAGGAAACTGATAGTGAAGTATGTAAAATATACAGTAAGGTGAGGGTAAATAAAATTATATACACTTTATAGGAGCTTAGGTGCAGCTCCAACTTAGACACTTGGGCGGTATAATAACCCGCCTGGGGATATGGTGGAGTACAAACTATATAGAGGAGGTTCTTGTGGATGCAGCTTTTCTTGTAGGTATGTAGGAGAAATCAGAGATATATAGTGCAATATGCCAGACTCCATATTAATATACAGTTGCAAGAAAAAGTATGTGAACCCTTTGGAATGAAATGGATTTCAGCACAAATTGGTCATAAAATGTGATCTGATCATCATCTAAGTCACAACAATAGACAATCACAGTCTGCTTAAACTAATAACACACAAAGAATGAAATGTTGCCATGTTTTTATTGAACACACCATGTGAACATTCACAGTGCAGGTGGAAAAAGTATGTGAACCCTTGGATTTAATAACTGGTTGAACCTCCTTTGGCAGCAATAACTTCAACCAAATGTTTCCTGTAGTTGCAGATCAGATGTGCACAACGGTCAGGAGTAATTCTTGACCATTCCTCTTTACAGAACTGTTTCAGTTCAGCAATATTCTTGGGATGTCTGGTGTGAATCGGTTTCTTGAGGTCATGCCACAGCATCTCAATAGGGCTGAGGTCAGGGCTCTGACTGGGCCACTTCAGAAGGCGTATTTTCTTCTGTTTAAGCCATTCTGTTGTTGATTTTCTCCTATGCTTTGGGCCATTGTCCTGTTGCAACACCCATCTTCTGTTGAGCTTCAGCTGGTAGACAGATGACCTTAAGTTCTCCAGCAAAATGTCTTGATAAACTTTGGAATTCATTTTTCCTTCGATGGTAGCAATCCGTGCAGGCCCTGACGCAGCAAAGCAGCCCCAAACCATGATGGCCCCACCACCATACTTCACAGTTGGGATGAGGTTTTGATGTTGGTGTGCTGTGCCTTTTTTTCGCCACACATAGTGTTGTTTGTTTCTTCCAAACAACTCAACTTTGGTTTCATCTGTCCACAGAATATTTTGCCAGTACTGCTGTGGAACATCCAGGTGCTCTTGTGCAAACTGTAAACGTGCAGCAATGTTTTGTTTGGACAGCCGTGGCTTCCTCTGTGGTATTCTCCCATGAAATCTATTCTTGTTTAGTGTTTTACGTATTGTAGATTTGCTAACAGGGATGTTAGCATTTGCCAGTGACTTTTGTAAGTCTTAAGGTTCAGGTCTCAACCTCCCCTGCTCTGTAGGGTAAACTTTTAAGTTACCGACTTGGACATACCCAACCAGCTAGAAGCCGGCTGGTGGTAATTATTGAAAGGAAAAAGGGAGTTTTGATGGATGAAGGGGGAGGCGAGAACCCTTTACGGCAATTTTGTCCGTTGGCACATGGTCAATAGCAGTGGCAAGGATGTTAAATAAGTTAAAGTCTGTAGGACACTATGTGTTAATAATATATGTTAATTTATGGGTTATTTATGTATTTATCTTTTGTTATTCTAATGAAAATGATAAAGTTTGATAAACGTATGGATATGTTCTACAGTATTTATGTTATAATAAGTGCTGTGGCCTGTTTCATCCAAATTCAGTGTCTGTCCTTATTGGGGGGTTATTTGGGGTAGACTCTGTTATACGTATCCCTGTTCCCACTACGTACATACAGGATTTGCTGGACATCTGGGGAGCGTGCTGTCAGCAGAGGGTTTAGCAGGCCTGGCAGCACCTCGGGCCAGGGCTCTGGCTCCAATAACAGGCCCGAGGCACCGAGCAAGCGGTCGGGAATGCCGGCCTGCGCTAGTGCAGCCTCCAAGGTTTGTGACTGCCTGGGAGGCCCCAGCAGAGGCCTGGCTGCGGACCACCAGCCAGGGCAGCTGCAGCTCTGAGGGCAGAGAGTATTGACTCCACAACCATCCTTAACCAGAGAAATGTAACAGGCCCAGGAAAAACATGAGCAATCTGAGTGCAATAAGTTGTTTTCTGGCCCGAATCCCAAGACACACAGCTCACCAAACACATAACCACTCCCGTACACACATACAATCAGTCACAAGCATCCATTCCCACACTCATACATATGCCCTTGTCCGCTTAGCTGCACTATCTCCCCAGGGGGTAATACCCACTCTAATGAGATTAACTTACTTGCAAAATGCTTCCTCATTGGACTCTTTACAGTGTAAGGTTAAATAGGGCCCTGGAAAGAGGCACCTGTGACAGGGAGGGGTGAAAAACTAAAGGATTTGCGAGACATCCAGTTGATACAATATACAGAATCCAGCACACTCACTCAACACCAGCCCCAAAGGTCACAGGATTGAATAGTTTTTAAAGACATCCAACTTACAAGGACCTATAAAAGCACCCAGACCACTTCATCTCAATGGTTTACAACTGTAAAGTAAATCATTCTAGTTCAGGAAATACAGCAAGGTTTATATTGCAGTGTTCAATGCCCTCTAGTGGGTACTAGATGCACTTCTGTTGTGAGAACCAACTCATTTCTGTTAGGGCCTATACTAGCAATTTAAAACCTGCTCTTATGCAGACAACCCAACATGCAAAAATGCATTTCAGGTAGGTGGCTTCACAAGCTACTTTGTCACTTCCCCACACATGCGCGCGCGCGCGCACACAGTCCTCCTACACACACGCGCACGCTTACCTGCCCCTTACCCCCAAGCCCGGGCTCACTCCACCCCCCCAACTTCCCTCACAGACAGACATCCACACAGATACGTACTGGCACATACACGCATTCTGGCACTTACACACTGACACAAAGATACACATATTGAAACACACAGTGGCACATACACTCAGATACACAAACACTGGCACATACACTCAGATACATACTGACACTCAGACACACACACTGGCAGTAAGAGAGATACACTGATACATACACTCAGAGAGACAAAGTGGCACTCAGATACACACACTGACACATACACATATTGACATGCACACAAGTCATACTTTATAGATTTGTAGCCACCCTCCTGTTAGCTTACCTTGGTGTCCAGGATTTTGGCTTGCCTGGAGTTCTGGTTCTAGCTGAGGCAGGTGGGATTGAGCATATAGGAGCATCTCACTCCAGCCCTTTCTTCTGCCTACTTCCATCCTGCATTCTTTTCTTCTCTTCTCTACTGTTCTGTTCTTTTTTCCTCTGCTCCCTCCTCCCTCCAGTCCTCCCAGGTGGGCAACTCTCTGTGAAGCTGGGAGGAAGTGGCTGTCACTTTGTCCCTGCCAGCTGATATCACGGGGGGTGAGGGGGGGTGGGTGATCAGCTCTTAAAGGGCCAGCACCCGACCTGGCCCCTGTTTAGTAAATAATATGAGGGTGTTAGGGGGGCACAAATCATACACAACATAATGGAAATCACACTTTTCTAGGATATTGTGTATGATCTGCGGTTGGCATGGAGCAGTATTCAACATGTGGGAGTCTCCCGGAACTACCAGGAGACTTGGGATGTCTGTTTTATAAGATTAGCTCACTAATAATTTAATAAATAAAATAATCCACCCTGGGGTGCTTTGCAGTGTAAGGTTAAATAGAGCCGTGTAAAAAAAATCATCTCT